GTGTGGACCCACAACCAACAAGAATTTGAGACCTTCTTAAATACCCTTAATACCCACAGGGACTCGATTAAGATGAAATCAACGAGCAGTCTGAAGTCGGTGGATTTTCTGGATACGACAACTTTTAAAGGAAACAATTTCCAAAAAACTCAATGTTTAGATATCAAAGTGTTCTTTAAAGAAACTGACACACATGCTCTCCTCCACAAAACAAGTTTCCATCCCAAACATACTTACGCAGGGTTAATCAAATCTCAATTACTTAGATTCCACAGAATCTGCACAGAACATAATGATTTCAAGGAAGCAGTCAAAATTCTACTTCGAGCATTGTCCACTAGAGGGTACTCTAGGTCCTTCTGTAGGAAGGGCCTCAAATCATTTCTGGAGGTTAAACCTAAAGCACTTACTTCAAGTCTTCCACTCATCACCACTTACTCTCCGTCCACCAAGAACCTGTCAAACCAACTCAGAATTAACTTCAATACGTGCATCAAAGGGTCTCCCATCCTAAGGAATCACAGCATCATACCAGCATTCAGAAGGAATAAAAACTTACAGGATCATTTAGTAAAGGCTAAAACACAACCACTTTTAAAACCAAGGCCCACAGTACAAAAAGATTACTTTAGACATAGACAGTGGCTCTGTAACAACAGCACAGGGGAAATATTTAAAATCCTAACCAGAGGAGACCCCTTTACCAAAAACTGTGTTTATAATATTTCATGTAAAAAGTGTAAATTACAATATGTTGGTGAAACTGGCAATATGCTTTCCACATGCTTTTCACAACATAAATACAACATTACTAAGAGAAAGAGGACTGATACACCACTAGTGAGACACTTTCTCTTACATGGCCTGGAAGCAATCAGCACAACAGTCGTGGAGACTAATGACAGTTGGACCACGGCCCAGAGGAAGAAGGCCGAGATGAGATTGATCATGAAACTCGGGACCAAGGACCGACAGGGTTTGAATGAACATTAGGGGGCTCGAGGCAGAGCTCGGGATGGACAGTGCACTGGGGGCGGAGCTGTCTTTACAGCGCTGTTCCCCATAACCCTAACCCAATCCTAACTTGTTATCATTAGTTCCCCACGGAGACCAGTAGATGTGTGTGTAACATTAGCGCCCTCTGCTGGCTGCTTGCAGACTTTAGTGGTGCGCCCTGCTTCCCTTAATAACTAGTCTGAAGCAAGCTGTCCCTGTGGTAGGTTGATCTGTGACAAGCTCCATTGTGAAACATCTCATTCGATATCTGATATACATATATATAGAGAGATATCTGTATAAGTTCCTTGTTGTGATCACAAATTGTTTGAGCGGAGGAGAGGTCAAGCCATGTATAATTTTGTACATCAGACAGACATTCACATATTTAATCATGTTCTCCCAACTAAACAATTTATATTTTTTTAGTATTGGGCAATGATGAGAACGAACAGATTTTTTATCAAGGATTTTGAGTGTGCGTTTATACAATGACTGTAGTGGTTTCAGAGTAGTGGTGCTAGCCTGTGACCAGGTTGTTAAACAGTAAGTGATATGAGAAACGACCATAGCAAGCATGTATGTCTTAGCTGTACTTTTGGTTTATCACACGCTCCCACACAAGAAGGGGAAGTGAAGACACACTGTCTTCTTTGTCTGTATGGCAAGTTTGAGACAGACCTTGAAACTGTAACTTACTCTCAGTTGAACGCACCTGGCAGACTCCAAATAATGAGCAGATCAAAACAGCCTTTGTCAAAAGACCTCTCCTCCCCTTTGTATGATTTAGAGATTTAGAGATCTAGAGGAGTGAACATCTCCATGTATAAGATGATGTCCAATGTTGAACTTAGTCGAAGTTTTAACACAGTCTACTGAATACGCAGCTGTTGTGCTTTCTTCCCTCTTGCAAGAGAATAAACGGAACAAGACAACTTTGAATCTTATGACTTTATTATTGATTTGTGAACAAAAACTCTCCCGATTAACCTAGAAATTTTCCACCACAGTGACTACACAGGTGAAACACACTTGAAACTTTTAATCATGGAGGGCAGCTAAACGCTGCTTTTCAGTGTTAAGTTGCTGTTCAACCTCGACATCTTTTGACCTGCAAATCACCAAATCAGTGTTTACTGGAAAGGACGGATTCAACTTTGTCTACTGGTTCCATAAAACTCATTAAAAACCTCACATATTAAACTCATAAAAATGAACAATAACTTACAATACATGTATTGTTTCATGTATTGCATGTGAACTAAGGGGAGAATTACATGAAACTAGAAACTAGGGCACGCACTCGCTCCATTTCGCCTTCGACATTTTCTAAATAAGTGCTTGAGATGTAACAGTGATTCCAGTTTTTCAGCTCAAAAAATACATCTTAGTGAACACTAATTCTGTTTTCTGATTGTCCGAAGATCCTCCACTAATATCTAACGAAACACACGATGTGAAAACTGCACTGACATCACGGTGCGCTAGAAAGATTTTAATATCATTATTCTGCATGTTGTGTCACTTCATCTTTTTGGATAAAAAAACAACAACACTTAACTCTGCCGTAACAGCTGCTTTCCAAAGGAAAAAAACAAGTATACAACTTTACAAATACACAAGTCACCATCTAGTTTGAATAATTTGGTCCAATCTTGATAACTAATAATCAAGAAGACGTATTTATGGTATTTTTAGTCATCTTTAAATTCTGGAAAGTGCTTCTCAAGTACGTGCAAGTTGGTATTTGTGAACTTGCACATGTATTTTCTTTAAGTATCTTTCTGAGACCTTTGTATGCTGCTGAACTGGCCTCAACAAAAATATTTAACAGCTAAAAATGAACTAAAAATAGGAAAACAACCTGGACAACCATAGACGTTATCGTGCCTCCAGGACAGAAACATAGAAACCGTTCAGCAACACTGAACCATGAAATGCTTTCGCAAGAACATCAAAGTTTACGTATGATATCGTCCTTAGCTTTGCTTATTTGGTGGTGTCACCATCGATGATGGAGCCCACGGAGAATTTTGGCGTCTTGCCGCCGGCATCGCACTCGTTGACATTCGAGTTAACCATGAGGGACCTGCAGGTCATGGAGGAGTCGTGACCTGTAGTGGTGCTGCTGGGTGAGAAGGCTGCAGGGACGAGACAGACAAAATAGTTTTGATCAGAGATCAATTGGACTATATCTATATGGTACATTTTAAAAACTCAACAGCAATGTCTCTTTCAAGAAATCTTGACCCGGTGAGTCAAGATAATCCACAGCCCTCGTTGTGAGGAGTTTCATGTAGGAACTATTTTCTTTCTACCGAACTACACCCACCAACGGGATCGCTGCGTTAGATGGCTGAGAAGATGCACGCTTCTTTCTGCATGGTGATACAATTGGTGTAGTTTGGTAGAAAGAAAATAGTTCCTACGTGAAACTGCTCACAACGAGGTCTGAGGATGTCTTGAGTCATCCATTTTTTGGGGTGCCATATAGTCTCATTATATTGGAGAGAAGGCAGACGTCTCTACGGCCGATACTTCCAACACTCGGCAACTCACACCAAAACAATCTAGATTGATAAATAGCACTACAGGTTAGAGGAAACATATGTGTTTTTGATTTAGGGGACAAATGTCCCTTTAAGATCTCTATGCTTCAAACAAACCTTCGGAAACAGTCACTCCAACAGTCAACGATTGGAGGTGCGAAAGTAAGAAGAGATTGAACTACTTTTACTACAATTTTCATGTGAACAAACAGCTTCAATAATGTCTCGAAGAACTGTCTGATTTGTGCGATTCATCGCATCTTGAAAAAGTAGAACATTTTTCTTGCCATCACTGGGCTCTATGGACGTCAGTCGATCTTGTCTAGACTTACATATCTCAAGAACCTTTGGATGTGTTGCCATAATATGTTGTACAAACATTTATGATCCTTAGATAATGAATCTCACAGACTTTGATAATCCTCTGACATATCCTGTAGCGCCACCAGCAGGGCAAAGTTTCTATTCATCCAGTGAAATACCTCAACATCTACTGGATGATTTGGCTCAACATGGTTCACAGATGATTTATCCTAATTAATTACTTGACTTTTCCTCTTGGGCCACCATGATGTTCCTTCAGTGAAACACCTCAATATTTGGTATTGATCAGATAATGTTTCCCTCAGGATCATCAACTTATAACAAGTCCAATACTTTGGTTTTCTTAACAAATACTTGCAAAACAGACATTCATAGTCTGGGACACGTCTGTAATTGGTCACTATCAAACATGATGTTTTTCGTCAGCTGTCTACTACGAAGCTACCAAGTATCCTGTCCTAGTTGTCTCAATGGTAATTGTGGTCGAAACTGGTAATGTGTTGTGTTTTTTGTCTTTTTGGCCGCTTGCCGACTCTCCCCTTTTGAAGATCTTCACTATACAGGCAAACCTCCAAAAGTAACTAGAGCATTTAAAAGCTTTTATTTTGGTAGCAGGGTTGTGACATTACTATGGAAACAAACTTAAATCATATGTTTATGTGAAATGTTAAAATTAAGCCAGTTTTCACCCAATTTTAAATGTTCACGCACAATGAAACTACTTTAGTCTCTCAGGATCCACTGGCTATGTTTGACTTTTAAATTCGGAGTAACTTCTAGTCGTCACATGTCTGTCGTGTTCCCATAAAACCCTCACGCTGGTACTGGTGTTGGTACTGACAGGACCTGCTGTATTAGACACCAGTAAGGGTGAACTGGTGAAGCCCATCAGATACAGGAGGACTCAGGAAGTCTCCCATGCGAGAGCAACATTTATACCACAACCTGAGGCATTATGAAATAACTTTGGGTAAAATACCACCACTAGGATAATATCTACTTCTTCATTATGCAAAACACTATGGTAAAGTATTTCTACGTATTCATAAAGTAAATAAACCTCAAACCTCTCATTTCCCTTTCAGGTATTGAGCAACAAATCTTATTTTCTTGGATACTCCTCAAAGTCATTAATATGATAAATTCATATTGCCGCAGGAGGCGCAGCAGCACGCATCAAATAAAAGATGTATTCATACTGTAAGGCGAGTAAATAAAGACGGAGAAGAGAAATACTATAGTGAGACAGAGAAGAGTCGTATCATCAGCAGAACGAATGCTCCTCTCTGTCTTCACCTGATATAAATATGACCGCACGGTTAAATGATTCTTCACGATTTATAGCAAATTGAATCAGTCAGCAAAAAGGGAAGACACTGAGCACAGAGCAAAAAGATCTTTTCACAGTCAACACTGTGTGTGTACCCAAACATTTCAATACTGGTCTACAGACACCGCACACACTAATATAACACCGTGAGGACAACAGGCTGGTTGTACAGGCATTCAAGTGTTACGTTTAACAACTACTGCAGACCTTCATAGCGTTTTTAATGAGTTTGTTTTAACCGAACTAAACATGTTTGGTGTGGAAGCTCCCAGAGAAACTAACTGAGAACTTCTGACCAGACAAATAGTAGAGCTGCAACTAAAGATCAAAGATCAAACAATAAAGGCAGAAAGTCCTGATAAATACCCGTATAAGTAACGTCTTGTCACATGATTGATTTTCAGTTTGCTAAATGAAACACAAACACAGCAAATCCTCAAGTTTGAGGAGCTGGAGCTCATTATTGTTTGTTTGTTTTTTTGTTTGAAAAATGCTAATTGATTGTCAATTATTGTGGATTGATTGTCAATGAATCAACTAATCTCTTCAGCTTCATTTCCTCCTATTGATGAAATGCTATGCGCGACACAATAAATTCTTTAATCTATCAAGTATTTTTCAAAGAGGTTTTATTATTTATGTAATATTTGACCTTTTTCTCTGAGATTCTGTATGAATACCAAAACAATATTTGACTGATTCCTTACATTGAAGAATTAAAGCTTATTTTTATAACAAATGCTAATTTAATTCAACAAAAGGAACATGTTTCAAATGTTAAATATTGTCTGAACACAAGCAGCCATACAAGAATGTTGCCTCAATGCAATCAATCACAATACTATGATTACTATTATGCTAATTATTATTTAAATCAGTAATTATCTGATCAATGAATACGAAAACGATAATGTACACACACATTTGATGCTAGATTTCAATACTTTGCTAAAAACAAATTGTGGCAATAACCAAAAAAGTGTTAAGGAAGCAACTTTTAAAATAATGATTTCAGCTTTTAAAGTTAAATATTTGCTTGTTTTTTTCTGTTTCATATAATTTTAAATGAATCCTTTTGGGGTTTGGACTGTTGGTCAACAGACCAAGACATATTTTTTCACCATCTAACATTTAACAGACCAAATGATTAATCAATGAATCAAGAAAATGATCTGCAGATGATTGAATCTTGAAAACAACCATAAGTTGCAGCCCTGATCATTAGAGAGTTAAGTAGTTCTCAAAAGGAGAGCTGACCAATGAGAGAAATGTAGTAGATAAATAAGGAAATTGCGTTTTAAGGTGTATTATCTCACAAAAGACATCAAAACAATGTATATTCTATTGCTTTCTAGAGATATTTGACTACCAGTCACAGCATAAAATATCTAAATGTATCTGCAGACCTTCACAAATACATATTTACTCAGAATAACCTGATGAAGACAACATTAACAAAAGCTGACGTCCAGTGTTTCCCAGAATCCTCTTGACTCCTTGATTCGCCTCCTCATCCCTCACCCTCCACCCTCTCTCCCTCTCTCTCCTCCTCAGCAGTGGTGGGAGGGGGACAAAAAGAGGAGTCATTTTCCTCCCCATTAACTTCCTGATTGGTTGCGGACTCCAATTCCTGCCCATCTGCAGTTTGTCACCAATTCCAAACTGGCAGCCCAATCGTTAATACTAATGTTTGTGTAGCTAAGTGCAGCCGGCTCTCGGCGGTCCACTTGTACAGCAATAATAGCATGTGGGTGGAGAGGAGAGCAGCAGCTGTGAATTAGCCCCGTTCACTGTTAATTCTCTGTTCATCGGCAAGAAATCTATGATGTGTAATTAAAGGCTGGAAGCAACTGGACGCGTTAGTCTCACTGGAGATGTTAAATCACGACCCACCGCTGGAACACATGTTCTCTGCTGCCTCCGACTGTCCTCTGCTCTCCTGTCTAGTACAGATTAATGTTGCTGAAACAACAGAGAGACGGCAAGCACCTGTTGTTGACGCTATGGCTGCAGCTAATTAGACAATTAACAAGTTACTTTTATTGTCAATTACATTTTGTATTATATCTTTGATTTATTCATTCACTGTTTTATCAAGATAACATGTCAGAAAACAGAGTTCTCAGATCTTCAATTGAGGCTTTGAAATTGCTTGTTTGGCCCAAACAATATTCAATTTACAATTATGTAAATGAAGAAAAGCAGCAACATGATTGCCATCTTTTAAGTGAATAAGGCTAATTAGTTTGCAAACAGTTGCTTATTTACACGTCCAGCAGTTACGGAGAAACATTATCATGCATTTGCAGTCAGCATGTTTCAGGACATCTGATGAATGTAAAGTAAAATTTATATTTTTGGCTATTCTCTCTTTTCTTTGAATGTCAGTGAAATATTGATCTCTTTAGGTTATTTGAAAGAAACCATCTGAACAGTTTAGAGGGGAAAAGTCCTGACATCAACTTTAATCTTTAACGAACTCTATTTTATAAGCTGATCATTTTTTTATATGTGGAAAATATTAAAAAGGCAATACACTAGTTTTTGGCTTCAATTTGTCATTATGAAGTAAGTGTAAATTGCACAATGTGGTTCCCTTTAAACGTCACTTTCACTCTGTGGTTCTGTCTTCCAATGGGTACGATGTAGGCTTCATTTACGACACTGAGGAAGTGCGTCAACCATTGCTTAATGGTAGCTATCCGCAGATACCGAAGAAGATCAATGGAAGTTCTTTGCTGTTAACCGGAAATGACTTATGCTGGAACAACCAATGTAGAAAAGAAAATGCAATGCATCCTGTGTTGTTGTTGTTTTAGTTGCTGTAGCTCTCAGGAAAACGGAAAGTGATCCAGTTGTGTTGCCGACAGCGGCAACACTCACTGAATAGAAGCAGGTTTAAACATCTAGAGAAGAATAGAGGCCGTTAAAGCTGCAGAATAATAAATATATTCAAAAAACTCATATAGGTGTAATGCTCAGGTGTCCGTATACTTTTTGACATTTAGTGTATGAAACATAATAATTTGAATTACCAATTTAAGAGTGATTTCAAGTTAATGAAATCAAGTCTCATTCATTTAAATTCATTATGCTGACACACTACACGGCTGGCTGCATGTTGTTATCGTTGTTAAACCAGATTAAAAGGGATTTTAAACTAAAGGTGATATCAAGTGTGAAAGTTTGACAAAGTAATCTTAACTCATGGACCATTTACTCGCCTTTTCTGGAGCTTTCAACCGTGTCTCACAGTCTGCAATTTACTAAGTGTGACCACATTCAATGCACAACCTGCAAGTTACCAAAAACAAAAGCAATCGCCGGTGTGAATTTGCCAGTGCTGTTCAGGGATGAGAGCACTTAGTGGAGGCCATCATCACGGGAACAAAAATTCAATCTTTAGAATGAAGAGTTGCCTGTCACATGACAAGGTTGGCCTGGGATTAAATGGCTCCCATTAAAATTATACGAGCTGTGTCTAAGCCCTGGTCAGAGTGAGGGGGTCCCACGGGTGTCTGACGGAGGACGGCTCAGCCTCTCCAGAAACAAATCAGGCGTCCGGCTGCTCATCATCAAGCCAGCAGCAGGACTTAATGGCCCAGAAAACTCCGTCAAAGAGCAGACAGGCTTTAAATACTGAGCGCTGAACAGTGGAGGCTCATGCCACTCAGCTGATGTTCACACCGCAGACCTTCACCCTCAGTTTCAAATCACTGCTCACAGCCGAGTCCTAATTCTGCGAGTTTTCATAACAGTATGAAGTTGCAGCAATGCAGAAAAGAGGAGGTTTCAATGGTTTCCTACACATTTCAGTAATTAACTAAGGCATCTCATGCAAAGCACAATTTGTATACATAACCCAAAGCTGCACCCAGAAATTATGTTTATATACTTCATTGTTTTGTCACGTTTTGGAGATTATATTTACTGTCCCTTTTATTCTAGTCGATTTAATGCTGTTTTGTGCAACACTTGAGTCAGAGAGGAGGTGGTCGTATAAAGCACAGAGCTTTGACACCAGAAGATTTTGGTTTTAAGATACAAAAACTCTTCTTTAAGATTAGGTTAGTAAAAGTAGATACGTCCCGTCCTTTGTCAATATTTATCTAAAACAATAATCTTTCCCTTATCTCAAACAATTGCTTTGTTGTCTTATTCTTCAGTTGCTAAGAGAACACATTTAATTTAGTTTTGCAGATATGTTCAGTGTAACTATTTTCCAGTTTCATAACGTTCATTAAAAGCATTTCCTCATTATGCTGGCGATGCAAACAATATATAAAACACTAAATAAAGCACTTAATAAATGCACAATATGCACAGTAAAGCATCCAACAGCTGTGGAGAAGTTTCACCCTCAACCACAAAATGTCAACCAAGGATTCATTCACTCATCACCACGGACGTCTAGAGCGACGAGATGTTGAGCTAGTTCACTTGATGAGTGAACATTTAAACTCGCTGGCAGTGTTAAAGGGAAGAGATCATCAAAGCCACTATAGTTCATCCTCTGGGTACCATGAATATCTGTACACAATGTTCAGGTAATCCGTCTAATAGTGACCAAAATGGCCTACAGGCTCGCCGCTTAATTTAAAATGTAATTTGGGCATAACTCAATTTCTAAATGTGCATAAACAAAATGTCAATGATGATCTATGTCACGTAAAGGAAACCATCATCCAATGTGGTGTTTTCAGCTGCTGTGTGAAGCAACTTTTCTTCTTGAGATTTCTCATTTGGTTCGATCCACTTGAGGTTTTACAAACTGACCAAATGCATTTTTCCACTTACGAGTTATGGCTTCTGACATATTGCTGCTGCTGGTGAAGCAAACGCAACAGAGCTCGTACAGTGAAGCCCGAGCTTTCTTCTAATTTCAAGCCACATCAAACACTTTAATCGGAGAATAAAACAGAGTGAAATTATAGCGTTTACATTATCATGTATAAGGACTACTCATTCCACTGGAGTGTGCGAGTTAAATCCTCCACGTATTTCTCATTCTTTCATCTTGCAAATGAAGATGTGTTGAGATAACAGTTTTCGGAGCGATGCAGTCCGTTATGCAGCCATTACGGGGGGTCAGAACACACTTAAATGCTCATTATCGGTTTGCTGTGGAGCGGAGGGCCGACGCAAGGCTGACAGAAGGCATCGGTGTCAGGGGTCAAAGGCTAATTAAGCAGAGAAGAACCTTTGCTCCCGCATTGTTAACCAATCTGTCCCCGATGAAGATGACTGCCGGAGAGGTGTGACACGGCCCCCCCCCCCCGGTCGCCATGCTAAATCTCCATTTCGGCTACTGTG